GATTGATATCCGTTTGAGAACCATTGAAAACCAGCACTGGAGTACTGGACAGCTGTTTCATTCTAGTATGGGAATTATCCTCAGTACGCACCCATCGGGGTTTGAACCTAGGACCTTCAGGTTACAAGGCAAGCTCGTATACCATCCAGACATTGAATTGGGTCCCAGTGGCTGAATGGTATACGAGCTTGCCTTGTAACCGGAAGGTTCTGGATTCGAACCCCTGTGGTGTGGGTGCGTACTGCCGATGATTCCCAAAAACTAGGATGAAACAGCTGTCCAGTACTCCCTGGCTGGTTTTCAATGGTTCTCTAACTGATATCAGTCCGTGGTCAAACTCGTAAAGAAAAGTCTAACCAACTCTTGAAAAGGGGTTATACATATTTAATTATATTTCAGATTAAATAGTTAGCAATAAAACAATAACATTTGTCAAATAATCCCCTTTTTAAAGTTAATTTTGTTGATGAGTTAATAAACAGTGTAAGTATATTTGGGCGAGTCAACTAGATACCTGCCTCTCACTTGAAACTGTTTATCCCATGTATATATATATATATGTATATATATATATATATATATATATACGAATAATGTTTACACAAACAGTTGTGAATACCCATCATCATCATCATCATCGTTATCATTACCATCATGATAATGATCATAAGTGTGCTTGACTCATTACGGATATTGTGAATCAGTATTTTCTTTTTTTGCTTTTGGGTGTGGCCTTAGAAAAATCACATTATTATTATTAGAGGAGAAATCTCTGTATAGTTTTGTGTAAGGGGAGTAGGAGTTGAAAATATGGTCAACTATGGGAGTAACTTTGTTTTTTTCTAACCCAGAGTTTATATAGTTATTAATTTAACTAAGCATTCCCAGTTAATTTTTACTGGGAAGAGCATCTTGTAAAATAGGTTCTTGTAGCACTAGGGTGCTTTATTTGATCAAATTCTAGCCGATCGATTTAATGGTATACCTTGAGTCTAATATCTTTCGGCCAGTATTCAAACAGTTCAAAGTTTTCAAAAGAATGGACATGGAACAAAGAGTACTCTTTTCGATAAATTCATTATCAGGTTCTACAATTGTATATACATTATAATGAATGAATGAATTAGTCTTATGAACAACATTAATGTTGTTTAAATAACATCAAATCAATAATATTGATAAATTGCAGCTGAAGAGCATCAATATAAAATAAACTGAATGTCAAAAGAATTATGAAAGGTAATAGAAAAAGCACTTGGACAGGACAATACACACACTTTCACAGCTTCGTCCCTATTAATTACAAAAGAAATTTAGTGAAGACCCTTAGCCACAGAGTTAGAGCTATATGCTCTGAAGAAGTAATTAAAGATGAATTAAGCATGGTATATGATACTTTAATCGAAAATGGTTATCCTGACAAATTTATCAAGAACATATGACAAAGAAAGCCGAAAAGGACTACTGGCTGTCTGTAAACAAGAAGCCTTTATATATACGACTACAACTCATGGGCGATATACCAAGTGAGATAATTACGAAGAAATTAAGAAAATCAGTTCAAAGAACTTTTAATGCTGGTAAACTACACGTATTATTCTCTACATGACCGATGGCGCTACCTCGACTGAAAGATGAAGTACCTAGACTAGCTAGCCACTTCAAATTGTATCTATCAATTCAACTGCGCATGTGGAGCGAGTTATATTGGCTGTTGCTCTAGGAACTTGATTTTTCGTGCTCGAGAACATCTCTCACTATGACTAAGTAAAGGTGTAGTTAAAACTATTAACAGTTCGATATTAGACCATCTAGTGCAAACCGGTCACAAAGCCAGAGTAGACGAATCCTTCTCCATAATATACCGGGTGCCTAACAAACTACCAAAATCGTCGAAGCACCATATGCTCCAAACAGCAGAGGCTGTTGCAATTCGCCTCAAACAACCAGTGCTCTGTGTCCAGAAGAGACAAGTCCAGCCCCTACTACTGCCTTGGCCCTATGTAGAGACTATAAACTAATGAATTTGTACTATTACCTTTCCTAATTCTTCTGACATTCATCTTATTTTATGTTGATGCTCTTCAGCTGCAATTTATCAATATTATTGATTTGATGTTATTTAAACAACATTAATGTTGTTTATAAGACTAATTCATTCATTATAATGTATATATAATTGTAGAACCTGATAATGAATTTATCGAAAAGAGTACTCCTTGTTCCATGTCCATTCTTTTGGAAATTTTAATGGGCATTTTTAATCAGTTCAAAGTTTGCAAGAAGTACATGGACGATGCTTTTGTCATCACTGATGAAGACATTGGTCGAAACAAAATCTTGGGAATTCTGTAACAGGGCTCATTTATTATCAGTCGAACTTAAAACTGTTGCATAGTCAGAAAGGCAAACTATCCTTTCTAGAGATCCAGCTTACAAGACCATCATTTGGAAGTCAAGAAAGATCAATCTTTCTTGAGCACAAATGGAATGGATAGCTGACAAACCTCCACACTTTTGTCTCAACAAACCTAGAAAGAAATTTCGTTCTCTTCCTTGCGACAAGAATCTACTGCAAATGCATTAAAGACGCACTGAATAAGGAATTAAAACCCTTCAGAAACACTCTAATCCGTCCTTCTTTATCGGCAGACATCTAAAGACAAAGACTCTTACTCTGAAAAACCTGGATGTGCTGAAGAAACTACCAATGTACATCTCAAATTCAAGGGAGATACAATTAGTAAAGTTCTCTGAAGTCGACCGTCGACAGCGATTTGAGGAACGTTTCTCTACGTCCCACCTCCACTCCTGCTGTTCTTCACCAAAAATGCTAAAGACAAGATCTCTCTTTTCAGCTATTGGTTTTGTAGGGATTTTGTTTGCTTGACTGGTTCGAGGATTTCATCGTGAAGTGCATCAGTCAGAGTATCATTGGAAAACCTACAGAGAGTACTGGACAGCCGTTTCGTCCTAGCTTGCTACTATTCAGCAACACGCACCCACTGGAAGTCGAACCCAGGACCTTATGGTTACAAGAATAGCTACCCCGATCCATTGGATCCAAACAAGATCTCTTTATTGGCGACTTCAGTGTATATTTACCGGTTCTGTAGAGCTAAATACATAGATGGTACCAGCAGTACGTTGTCTAGACGTGCCCATGAACACATAGCAGCATGGCGGTCACAAAGGAGAAAGCAGAAGAGTCAATAGCTCGACTCTGGAGCACATTATAACTTCTGATCACACAGCGTTAACTGAGAGTTCATTCAGAGTCATATATAAAATACGACCAAACCATTCCAAAGGATTTCGCTTAAATCTTCTTCATACAGCCAAGACAATAGCCATCCATCAGAAGAAACCTGAACTTTGTGCATGCAAATGTTTTATCTAACCTTTTTTACTCTACAGTGGCTTTAGAGGTCTTTTTTCTTTCCTGTTTCCCTGAATGTTGGCATGGTGAAATCTGTGTAGTCTAATTTATTTTTTTATGTTCTCTCGTTTCTTATCATTTATTTCCAAACGATTATCCATCAATTAACTGATTAGTTTTCAACCCTTTTGATTAAGCAAGACTGTTCTCAATTCTCCAGACATTGTTATTGCTCTTACATGAATTTATTTTGTTACTAAGTGACATTAACCTTTGACCTCTGTTGTGAGTTAGTGTTTTTGATATACATAAACCCTCTAAAAAACTGTATGGTCTTGAAGTGAATTTATGAAGAGAGATCTCTATTCGCTGACTTATGTTTCCTTAACTGCATGACATGGTAATTGTTCATACCTTGAAAAGTAAATTAGAATATCATGTGAAATTCATTTAGACAAGACAGTTTGACACAGAAAAGAAATTCAACAAGTTGTTAGCTATTAGATCATTTATCTTATGGCTTACTGGTAGGACACTGTCCAGCTAAGCAAGTGGTCCGGGGTTCGATCCCCGGAGCTATGCGTTGATTTTAGAAATCCTGTTACTTTTATCTCTTGTTACCGTCCCAGTACAGAAGTCATTATTCGGGAAACTTTCTTATTTAACAAGATATTTCAATTAATTTCAGTTTTGATACTTAAAAATGTCAAAATTTTCAAGTATTGGTTTTGTTTGGTTGGTTGGAGGATTTCATCATGAGATGACATCAGTTAGAGAACCATTGGAAACCTGGGAGTACTGAGCAGGTGTGTCCGCAGTCCTAGTTTGGAACATTTTAGCAGTACGCACCCACCACAAAGGGCTCGAACCCACGACTTTCTGGTTACAAGGCTAGCGAGCTCTTAGACCATTAAGCCACTGGGACTCGCCTATCCAATGGCCAGTCCATGAATTCTAACTCCTGCCAATTCATGACATAGAGCGATCACTTCACAATGTCTTCTGAGTTACTGCCTCACCTTCAACCCGCGGTACCCTGCTGGTATGTTTTCTTACTAGAACCCCAGGTAACTGCCTGGGGTTTGAACCCCGGAGGGTCCGTACTGATGAAGAGTCCCAAACTAGGACGAAATAGTTTTCCAGAACTACAAGGCTTTCCAGTGGTTCTTTAACTGATGTCAGCTCATGATGAAGTCATCCATTCAATGTCAAAATTGTTAATATGTTTTGTGGTTCAGTCGAAGGTTTGACCATCGAGATGAAATAATCTCCAAATTCAATATTTTGTAATATTATCAGAGGGTAAATTTAATACTGATACACGTAAAACTGGCAATAAAATCTAATAGGCTCTTCAAGAAAGAATGCAATATGACACTCAGTAATGATGGGTGCATGTGTGATCTCTTGAAGATTGATGAGTGATTGTCAAGTGGCCATTTTGATCTCAGCATGAAGTGTTGTACATCAATAGCACGTAAATAGAAAGTACACTTCTGTTACATTATCAAGAGCATACCTAACTGAAGTGGCCTTAATTCTTCGAATAATTTTTTCCCCTGCTTATTATATACTGAATAATACTTAATTATCTCAATTTGTTTTCCTATTTTTATTCTAGTTGGTATGGAAAAATCGTGTTACAAAATGTAAATGTCACGGAGTTAGTGGAGCTTGTTCAATGCGTACATGTTGGCAACGTGTCAATGAATTTCGTCTTGTCGGTATAATGTTGAAAACTGCTTATGATCAAGCTATACGTGTAACCTACGAACCAAGATTGGACATTTTGAAACGAATTAATATTGGAAGAGGCACAAATAATTATGAAAAATATATTCACAGTAATAATAATAATTATTATCCGAATAAACGAAATCCATCAGCATTGTCAACACGTTATAAACACGATACAAAGAATTGGTTAGTTGTGATTAATAATCATAGTAATAGTATTAATAATAATAATAACAATGGTTTGAAACACGATCACAATGAATATTTAAATAGTGAACGTCTTCTACGTAGATGGCCACGTATGACAGCGACAAAATCAAGAGAAATGCCAAAGAATAAATTAGTTTATCTGGAAGAATCACCTAACTATTGTTATTTTGATGAAAGTATTGGTAAGTTATTCTTCTTTAAAAAAATCAATAGAACACAAAATAATCGAGCAAAGAATATTCTTTTCGATAAATTCCTCTTCCAGGCTCTACAATTATATATACATGTTTATATACATAGAATATTTTAAATTAGTAGTTAATAACAATATTAGTGTTTTTTTAAATAATATCGATTTGTAAAGTATGGTCAATACTATTACAGTTCATTACAAGATGCTTAAATAATAATAATAATAAAGATATATTAGCGAATAGAATATCAACTAATATGAGGGAAATTTCACAAAATTGGTAGATACACATGGAAGAGGCGAAATTAGGCAGTTTGTCTTTTACTCCCGAACGCAAAAGAAGAGTGGTTTTAAAGATACAGCGTAATTCGGCAGCAGGGAATGCTCTTTTTACCACGTTTCTAAGGCGCTGTGTTAGTTCGCCTCTTCCATGTGTATCTACCAATTTAACTGCTCCTATTGAGCCAGTTACATAGACCGTACAATTAGGCGTGTTTATCGTTGGATTTCCAAACATCACCCTGCAAAGTGGTTAAGTAAAGGACAAACAAAATCCATTCATGACGCTAATCCATCTCATCTTGTGGATACAGAATACAAGATTGATGTCAACGAGGCTTTCAAGGTCATTTACCGCATACCAACAAATCTCAATTTTGCTTTAAGAGTTTGACTACTAAATATTGCTGAGGCTGGGGGATCCATATTAACAAGCCTAATGCTATTGCAGTTCATTAAAGATGCTTAAATAATAATAATAAAGATATAATAGCGAATAGAATATCAACTAAAATTAGGAAAATTCCAGCAAAATTCTGGATTATTCAAACCTGGGTGGCCAAGGTAATGATAATGTCTGAACTAACTTTACAAATCGATATTATTTAAAAAACGCTAATATCGTTATTAACTACTAATTTAAAATATTCTGTGTATGTAAACATGCATATATAATTGTAGAGCCTGGAAGAGGAATTTATCCAAAAGAATATTCTTTGCTCGATTATTTTGTTTTTTATAGATGTCTGAATGAATATTTTTGCAATATAAATCAATAATTTTGTTAATTTCATGTTAATGATGCTAACAGCAACTTGTTTAGAATACAGAAGACAATAAATTTCTCCTTTTTTCACTCTTAAAGAACCCAAACATCTCTAACACTTTTTAGAATTTCACGAGTTTGTTTGCAGAGATCATTTACTGACATCAGTTAGAATGGCGGTGGAAAACAAAGAGTACTGGACCGTTATTTCAACCTACTCAGGGACTCATCGGTAGTCTGTATCCACCGAATTTCGAAACCAGCACTTTCCAGCTCCCATTCAAACACTGGGACTACGAGCTTACCTTGTAACTAGAAGGCCCTAGGTTCCAAATCCAGTAGATGCATACTGATGATGTATCCCTGAGTAGGAAGAAACAGCTGTCTAATACTCCTTGATGTTCACTGCTTCTCTAAATGATATAAATCTGTGATCAAACTTGAAAATTTTGGAATTATCGTTTTCTTTCACGGAATCAAGCAGACATTTAGTGGACGAAGTTAGAAAACTGGGATATAAAGTGTATAAATACAAAATACTATTTGATGATATTAGATGGTTGAAGGCAATCAGCAGGAAGCCTTGGACTGCCTAGGTTTCCTGCTAGCTGGTACTCAGAAGTCAGCAAGACGTGTCTTCAAGTTCTGAAGGAACTCATTTCCCTACTGATATTCGAATCCGCGTTGTCCATTGCCGCAGTTAGAGATGTTACCACTGAGCTATTCGGGCCTGCAATCGAACTCCTGTAGAACTGTAGGGGATAGTTTGATTGGACACCAGTAACTAGTGTGATGTGTCTAGACTTTTCTTTGGTGTAGACTGAATTCCATCAGTTAAGTTTGCAATGTAACCACCATTCTAGGTAGATCTCTGACTGCAGCACGGGGTGACATGGGTTCGAATCTCAGAAGGGACATAAGTTCCTTCAAAATTTGCAGATACGCCTTGGTGACTTGTGAGTGATAACCAGCACGAAACCTAGGCAGTCCAAGGCTTCCTGCTGATCGCCTTCAACCATCTAATATCATCAAATCAGTGTGCACCTTAACGGTGAGCTACCTAGAATGGTGGCCACATTGCAAACATGACTGATAGAATTCAGTCTGCACCAAAGGAAGGAAGGACTAGACACATTGCACTAGTTACTATTGTCCAGTCTCAAAATACTATTAAAAATTCATGTTTTCCATTTACTGATACTGATGAATATCATCTACCTAATGAAAAGAAACCTTTCAGACTACTAAATGCAGAATAATTGTAGTTCATATGATATTGACTATTCCCATGGGAATATTTGTTAGGCTACCAGTTGTTATTTTATGAAACACACAGGGCAAGTCTAACAGATACCTGGATATATGATACACTGGACTTTATTAATTTTTTATTAGAAAGAACAAACCTAAACAGATTGGAAAAAACATAGTAAATAATTTGTAGTAACATAAGAATTACTCAACATACAATTACTTCTTATTCCCCCACACTCCCCAACAAATTGTTTTCATTCATTCTTATGAAAAGGGGTCCTATTGTGTTATTTCTAAACTTTTTGGAATACTCTGATTATTCTGCAGACAGAATCTTCATTTGTCTGGCTCAGGCATCTTGGTAATGCTTAATTTTGATCCTTTCTTGCGCAATATATTTAAAATCCAATCTAGTAAAACAGTTTTATTTAAAGATTAAACAACAAAATAGGTAGAAGTGGCCAGTGGTTTTGTTTTTCCTTCCCTTGAATTTTGAGTGGGACATAGTTTCAGTAGCAGTGGTGTTTTGTTCAATGAGGTGCGATTGTTGGTCTCACATCCAACCCTTCCTCTTTATCGATCTTACTACTAACCAAATGCAAGACGTCGGCTGTGAATCTGAACTCATACCACATGAGTAGTAGTTGCTGAGTATCCTAATACTGGATTACGCATGCATCGGATAGATTATTAGAATTTCCTTATTGGTTAGCTTCATATGGGGTAGGAAGTCCTATGCCCGGAATGATAATACAACATGAGGATTTGCAGACTGTGGTTTGGTGGTCACCGAGGGGCTACAACAAAATGAGTAATCTTAATTAAGCACCAATATGGATATATAAGTCACCCACCTAGTGGTATTACGGTGAAGTGATGTGTACGAGCAATTAATTGGAGGTGTGTTAGGCTTTGTGCGTGTATCCTAAGTGGATGAGCTTTTTTGATACTAGAGAGGGAGTCATGGGATTGTTCTAATTTGTATAGGATAACTGCGAGTAAGTTCAGTACTGGTTACCTGCATAAAGCAAGTTTTATCTAAGGACGCATCCATATTTTTCTTATTAATCACTCAATTATCTGTATTTTTCAAGTTTCGATTGACTGGGATCTGGTTGATTTCACGTTTGGTCACAGACAGACTTCAGCCAAAAAACTATTGAAAATCAGGGGGCACCGGACAACTGTTTCGTCCTTGTTGGCAGCTCGTCAGTACTACAAACCCACGAACCGGTCTGGGATTGAACCCAAGAACTTCAGGTTTACCATTCAGACACTGGGATGGAATCTGACAGACAGCTCCTCAACTCTAACTTCTGATAATCCACGACATTTAGGACGACTGCCAGTCAATGTCACTGGCGAGTGTTTGCCGTCACACTCACCTAGGTGCTCACTGGTGGCTGAGTACAGGAGGAAGTTGCCTGGAGTTCTGGTAGGAAGTCTTAACCAGTCGGGTCCATCAAGTCAAGAAAGGGAATAGTTACTTGCCTTTGACATTAAATGGCAGTTGCACTATGTATATAACTCATGGGCCATTGGATTTTCTCCCAGTGGCTGAACGGTCTACAAGCTCTTCTTGTATTTGAGCCTCTGGGAGGTCATCGATGTGTGCTACTGAAGGCTCCCAGACCAGAATCAGATCACTACTCAGTACTTCCTGCTGGTTTTCAATGATTCTCTAACTGAAGTCATTCCATGATCACTTGTGAATTACTCATTTGATGCAACTATCTCGGTTGACCTTCTTTATTGTGTTTGTTCCACTGTTCCTTATTGTCTTTCAAGTTGAATGCACCATTGGAAATCTTGTTGTTATTTACCTTCTCATTATCTTTTTACTGCTCAAACCTTCACTAAGTCGAATTAGCTTTACTACTTTCATAAGATCATTCATGCATACATTTGAAAACACACAATACACATTGTTTTAATCTCCTGACATTCTTTTCACATTTCTTCTGTTTGCATTCATCAACTGTATGAAGCTTTGTGATTAATGAAATTGCTTTATGATGCTTGAATATCTCCAGATTACTGTATAACATTTAACCCTATTGCTCACCATTCAAGCAGGATGAAAATATAGTAGACCTTTCAAGCTATTGTAGTCTTTAATCAACGTATATATCTATACAGTGAGTCATTTATCCACAAAAAAAACAGGATTTGTGCATGTGGTATTAGTGTGTCAAGTAATTAATTCTATCCCAAATCCAGAAGTTTCCATTATTGTTATTATTATTACAACTATTAATATCATTACTATCACTGACGTTAGCTTAGGAAACCTGACTTAGAGAAATACTAATGGCAATTAAAAAATAATCCTATACTCTGTGGCTAGAAATTAAGGTCATACCCTAATCCATTGAAGGCTTTGTTGAACTAGTTATCATTAATCATTTCATTTATATACAATCTGTAACCCTTTCAAATGTTAGTAAACTTTATTCAACTCATATTGTCATGTATATATAAATCCTTTTTGCCCTTATCACAGTAAAACAGACAGACAGATAGATATTATTTAGGCAGGGATAAAAATAAATTTCTCCAATGGTTTTATGATAAGGGTAATTTGTTGGTGAGTTTGTTTGAAACATGTGAAATACAATGTCGTTTATATGTGAGGGTAAATAACTATAATGTATACAAGTGGAAATGATTAGAAAGCTTAGGCGATGAGG